AGATGTGTATAAGAGACAGGTGTAGAAGTGAGTCACTTAGAAGTAGTCACGTAGAAGTGATACACTAACACAATTAGATGTGACACATGTACGTATATGAATTTCAATATGGCGACGAAATGTTGCAAGTTATTCCGTTCAGCAAACCTGGCAGTACACGGAACATTTTTCGTGCTCAATTATTTTCCCTCTAGCCTATTTAGTTACGTCTCCTTATTCTTACTTCATAGTTACTATATTACTATTATGACATTTAGTAAATGAGTAAATTGATATTTTTCAAAATATTGTATCATTCGGAAAGTTCTGCAGTTTTCACGGGGACAAATTCAAGTGGTCAAGCGACTTTTTGCAATTTTAAATTTTTCTATCAGTTCTTGTATTATCTAACAAGAATTTTCGGCGACAACTTATTTCAGTCATCATCCACAATGCAGGGATGTCCAGATCGCGCGTCGTCTTTAAGAGTGAAATCACATTGTTGAAATTTTACAAACCACTTCCGAATTGTATCATCAGAAACAGTATCTTGTCCGTAAACTTTATTTTTACGCACTGTCTCGCATGCGTTTTTACTCTTTATAAAAAGCATAATTTTGTTAAAATGTTTTTGATTCTTCATTTTTAAGGCACTATAGAATTCTGAATTGAATATAAACATATGCCATTATGGATGGAATTGTTTGAACAAAAGATTGTTCTTTCTTATTAACCTGAAATTTGGGTTTTCTCGTTCAATATTAGCACAAAATTTAAAATTATATCCGTGCAGATGTGAAAAAACCGCAGAATTTTCTGGATGACGCAATATATTAAATTAATATAACAAAAAAGACAAAGAGATCAAAACTGTCATATATATATATACACACACAAAGATTATTAATGTTATACATTTATTTCTGTATCAGCTGGTCTGCTATTTTTTTATTATAAATTCTATTATTAAATTAGGTAATAAGTTAGATAATAAGTTTGAATACCTGCAATATATTGATAATATTAAATTGCAGCTTTCTTCAATTTTTTTCTTTTTCTTAAATAATACAATATGCTAGCCATCCCAAAAGAAATCTGAAATAGTAAAGTTGAAAAAATACATAAAAAAGTCAAAGTAATTAATTACTAATTAATCTTCCATAAAATTTGATGAGGAGATTTGAGAACAAGTTTGTATCCATACAGCACATTTTATCCGAGAGACGTTCAGAAGACGTCCTTTATGTCGTAAGGACGTTCTCAGGACGTTACAAAACGTCATCTGGACGTTCCTCGGATAATGTGAGCTGTAATCGTAATACATTAATGCCTAATGTTTTTTCGCTTCTGACGGCATAATTAGATAGTATATTTTATAAAAATGTCTTATAATCAATATTTTTATAAAATATTAAAATTTATTGCTTTTTTATATGGCCATTATGCAAATAGTATCTAACAATGTGATTAAATTAAAAAATATTTTATTTGTTGCATTAATTACGTTTAAACAAAAGAACTATGCCTAATTTTATTAGTGAAATTGGGCCCAGGTGATCTGCATTGAAATATGATTAGGATTGTAGAAAATTAAAAAAGATTACAAAATTCTGTAAGCTCAACCTTATAAAAAAGAAGTCTCCTAAGTGTTAGAGCTATTCAAAATTCGCTATTATAATCATTTATTATATCATGTATTACTGGTTTTATCCGATTTCTCTGCGTTCAGGACACCTCTTCGCAGTAACGGATTGTACCAAAGACATTGAAATAATATATATATATATACAGGGTGTCCCGTAATGACCGGACTAACGCTTAAGGGTAGATTCCTGAGATCATTTTAAGACAAAAGTTCCAATACCAAAATGTTGAGACTATAATAGTTTTTGAATTATAAGTGTTTAAAGTTAACTAATCAGATCGTCTAAAGTTGGCGCGCTCAGGTACGGCACACGCAACTCCTAAAAACAAAAGCTGACTTATCGCTCCTTTTATTAATATCGATATAAGGATTACTTATGTGAATATAAGATTATTTTTATTGATATTTCTGCAAACACATTGCGCGATAACATTGTACAATAATATTTTCTTTTTTATAATAACATTTTTTGTCTTTACATAATACATAAAGCGCAAACTGTCAGATGACATTTCATTCAAAAATCTGTTATTAATTGCATATCTTAAAGACAAAACTGTAGTTATCAAACGGTACGTAATTAGCAAATGATACTTGCCCTACAATTATTTTACAAAATAAGCTACTAATGCTAATATCCTAAAATAAAACTACATTCAAGTACACTTTAAACATTTTATTTAAAAAA